GGTGGGAGGAGAGAGGAGACGCAATGGGCAGCTGGCCCTTAGTCCCAGCAAGGCCTGGCCCTCCCAGAGGGCTCACCCCACCTCCCTTCCCAGACCCAGACTGTGGGCTCAGCCTCGTACCCTGAAGTCAGGGTCCAGCTCCGTCTTGCTAGGGGGGTCAGTGCTTGCTTGCCTGCAAGAGCCAAGCGAGCCCATCTCCCCAGGCTCCGGACATTGCCTTCCTGGGCCGAGCTGGAGGCCAACAGGGATAGCAGGAGGCCCAGAGGCGGCGAGACAAGCATGGGGTCAGAGGGAAAGGGGACAGGATGCGCTGGAGAGGAAGACGGGGCTGCTGAGCAGGGAGGGCCTGTGCGGGGAGAAGGCCATGCGCGTTCAGACACGCACTACGGAGGCGAGTGGTCCTGTGCTTGAGGTTGAAGCAATAACCGGGCCGTTCCTTACGCTCTTCCTGCCCCTGGGCGTCTCTGCCTCTGTGGTTCGAGCAGAGGAGTCTGGGAGTTGTCCAGCCACTCCCTCTGTGGGGGGTGGGGAGCCAGTTTCTGGGGGTGCTGTGGGACGGGCCACTCATTCCACACCCACCCCATCTCAGCCCCATTTCTCAATCTCCATATAGTATTACAGCATTTTGTTTTCTAAAACACAAGATTGACAGTAAGTGACAAAACCAGCATCTCATTGTCCAGGGCTTGTGGGGGAAAGAAAGTAGAATTCAACGTATTGACACTTTATTGGTTAAGAGGATGCTTCTGAACCAATCAAATCCGTCTCCCATTGACGGTTACTGGGGGAAGCTAGTCACTGCCCAGAGCCTTGCCAGCTGACAGCAGGGGAAGTCACCAGTTCTCAAAACCTCCGAAAGGGGAGGGGAGGAGGCCCAACCTGTGAACAACGTCCCCAGACAGGACCTCCCACGGGGAAGGCCGAGGCCGAAGCCTTTGGAGGGAAAGGCAGGGCGGGAGGTGGGGTTCAGGTCTCCCTCAGCCTGGACGGCCAGCACCAGGCCCTCCAAACCCTGTAAAACACGGCACATGTGACACACACATGTCCAACTACAGACAGATACACCAGCACATTCTCTTGATAACGTAGATGAAAATAAGCTTTGAGAAGCAGGAAATATGAGAATTTTGGCCTGAAAGTGAGTCTCAGGAAAATATATTTATTGACCTAATTTCCTAATTAAAATGGACTGTTTATCCCATTTATTTGTTCAACAAATAAGCCATTGGGTTACAAAGTGAAATCAAATCACACTGTCACAGCATCTGGAAAGGATGCAGTTTTTTGGAGTCAGACGGAATCCAAGCTTTGATGTGATCTTAAATGATTCAATCTTGGTGAGCTTCAGTTTCTTCATTGTAAAATGGGTACATTGCCTGCCTTATGGAGAGGTCAGAACTTAAGAATATAATGATGTAAATGCCTAGCCCTGTGTTTGGCTTCCAGTAAGTGTCCTACCTTGATATTCCCTCCCCCTCAAATCTCTTCCTTTCCTGGCCCCTCCCACTCCAGCATTAGCATAAGGAACAACAATTATACCAACCGTCAGGTCGGACCTACTAGTAAGATGGGCTCTTTTGTAGAATGTGTGTCCAAAGGTCTGGGTTCTGTTCAGGGGAAGACCTGGTCCCTGTCCTCAGTTCACAGTCTGGGAGCTGAGTTAGGTGAGACCTATGTGGTGAGTGCATGATAGAGGACCCTCCCCACCCCCCACGCACACACAGAGGGGACACAGGTGCTCCTGCTGAGGTGTCGCCTCCACTTCCGGAGTGATGCTAGCACTGGGCTCCTAGGAGAGGAGGGGAGCTGGAGGAAGAAAGCAGTTCCACTGGCTCAGCTCTGAGTTTTTCTCTGTCACACAAAACCAACATGACATGAGAGCAGACGCGAAGCTGGAGGTGACACTGAAGGCGCTGAGCAGGGCCACCATCCGGGTGGGAAATGTTGACTGGGAGAGACAGAATTTTACAGACTTTGAGGTGTGCATTGACTCATGCTCCTGCTCCATTCTCCCGCCGCTGATGTTTCCTTGAGAAACTGAATAGATATTAACTTATTTTATTTTATGACTAGAGGCCTGGTGCACAAATTCATGCATGGTGGGGGGGGAGTCCCTTCAGCCC